TTCAAAAGACCCTATTTTCTGCGAAATGCCATAAGGAAAATAAAAGTCTTGATACTATCTATAATCAAGGGGTAACTAAGTAGCCATGTAAACTTTTTGGGGGTATGATACCATATTTTAAAGAAGATATGAAGCATTTTGTAAAGTCCAATTTCCGGCGAACTGCGTTACCAGGTCGCTGCTGTACAGGTCAATGACATCATCGCTAGCCAATCAGACGCACGATAGGCCCACATTTCCCGCGCGGTTCTAAAATGTAAACGCACACAACTGGCTACATCACCCGACAAGAGTCTTGACATGCTATGTGTAAATGTACTCTAAACACGTCCACAAACCCCACCATATGTTTTCAGTTCTACATATGTTTCCCAGGCATGAGATTTGGAAAGTGTAGTTGTGCCCAATATCTCTAAAATGTACTATATCGTTGTTTTCTGGTCTGGGGAGGCAGGGACTTCACACCGAACGTGATTCTAAGTCACATTTTTGCTGCCACCCCAGTTGGTAACACAGTTCACGGGTAGGTGTTTCCTACCCTGTCATCTTTTTGAAGTTATCACCGCTAGCTTGGGGTTCTATCGAGTCGAGCAGCGGTTTTGCGAACGCATTCGAGTTTGCGAAACCTGTTCTATTCCCGTCGGCCTTTGCGCTACCCTGAACGCCAATGTAACAGCTGAGTAATGAGTGTGCTTTTTATTGTATGATTCAGCGGACCAAGTACCCAGCAGTATGTATTATATATGTATGGTTCATTGTACAGAGAATTCTAGGGACATTTTTCAACGGACCGTGTTCACGGTGTTATGCGATGAGTGTATGATTCTCGGGAATCTTTCGACGGACAGTGTTCACGGTGTTATGTGTTGAGTTCATGACTCTTCGGATCCTTTCAACGGACCGTGTTCATAGTGTTTGTGTCCAGTGTATGATTATCGGGAATCTTAAGCTTGTACGGAGTGCACAGTATACGAGTGTTCATAAAACAAAGCAACAGCGATCTCAACAAAAACTCGGTGGCCTATCGCCCATGATCTGACAATGCCCGCATCATTATTATCCGAATCAGTCTTAACCTAGTGTCAAGGCTTACGGGTAGGGAAGGGGACGCTTCTCAGCATATTTCTCTTGCTGTAGTGAGTCAAAATGATAAAGTTACAGACTCAGAGACCAAAATTTAACTTTAATACGTTTTGTTCCAACTTTACAAGTACTCCAAATTTCACGTTCATAACTAGTTCATAACTGCCAAGTAATCTATTAGATTTGAATGTTGAGCTTTTCTGTTTCGTAAATGCAAGTTGGTTGACATATATTTGTATCTTAAAACTACTATAAATTCAAGCAACTTCATCATCAAAATATACTTTTTGCATTCTTCTACATAGGTGACGTCTCGAGAAACTATGATAAAGAATCGAAAAAGGCAGAAAAGAATGGAGAAGAGTCGGTTCCATGGCAACGCAAAGGGTCGCCTGAAAGGAACAGAAAAGGTCAAATCCAAGCTAAAGGTCATGGTCAAGGTGGCGGCAACACGAAGTCTCGCGAGAACCACGTGATCAGGATGAACGTGAGCGGCCTGCACTTCTACACACGCGAGAGCATCTTGAGCAAATATCCAAACACCCTTCTCGGGGACTTCTCGAGACGCAAGAAATTCTACTGCAAGGATACAGACGAGTATTTCTTCGACCGACATCGTCCTAGCTTCGAGGGAATTCTCTTCTACTACCAGACGGGGGTCATGAAACGGCCCCAAAACGTGCCCGTAGAAATCTTCGTCATGGAGCTGAAATATTTCGACATGGGGGAAGCGGTCATCAAAGACCTGCTGAAGAACGAGGGATGCTACGTCCCGGCCGAAGAGCTCGAGCCGCAGACAAGAGTCAAGCGGGTCATCTGGGATCTCTTCGAAAAACCCGAGACTTCCGTCTGCGCGAGAATCGTTGCCATGGTTTCTTTCCTCTTCATCCTGATCTCGGTGGCAGAGACGTGTGTGGAGACGCTTCCGCAGTTCAGAACCACCGACGCCGATCTGCTGAACATCAGCGACCTGCTGGACAACTCCACGGAACCGCTGACCAACACAACAACAAGAGGTTTGGACGAAGCAATCAGCCAGCTCCAAGCTGCCTTCCTGAACCCGTTCTTCTGCGTAGAAACCGCCTGCGTTGTCTGGTTTACTGTTGAGCTGGTGATGCGGTTCTATGCCTGCCCGAGTAAAGTGGCCTTCGCAAAGAAGCTGCTCAACATCATCGACTTTGCCGCCATCCTGCCTTACTTCGTCACCTTGGCGCTGATCGTGACCACGACGTCTCGCGAGAAAGCGGCGTTGTCTCTGGTCGTGCTGCGCATCCTGCGATTGGTCAGGGTCCTGCGCATCCTCAAACTCTCGCGCCACGTCAAGGCCATGCGACTTCTCGCGATAACTGTGTACGAGAGTCGGCACGCGCTGGGCTCGCTCTTCCTCTTCCTCATGATCGGGGTCGTGACCTTCGCCACCGGAATCTACGTCACCGAGGAGTACGTTCCGGAAACGTTCTTCACCAACATTCCGGAATCCTTCTGGTGGGCGATCATCACCATGACAACCGTCGGATACGGGGATACGTACCCGCAAGGGGTGGCGGGAAAACTGGTGGCGGTTCTCTGCTTCTTCTTCGGGATTCTGATAATGGCAATGCTGATGCCGATCTTCGTGGACAAGTTCAACGCCATGTACGTGTACGAGATGACCAATCCATTCCGGATGATGAACGATCTCAAACCGGAACCGGAAGATCCGGAGGAGAACGTTGAGGAGATAGAACAGAGAGAGACTTCGCTGTAGGCTTTAAAAATCCGGAATTCTATCATACCGATCTTTCGGGGTAAATTCAACACCATGTACCTGACTGTACAAGATGACTAATCCGTTCCGGATGTTCAACGATCCCAAACCGGAACAGGAAGATCCGTTGAGAAGCTAGAACAGAGAGTTCACTTAAGACTGAAAATCCGGATATTTCTGTTCAACGCCATGTACGTGTACGAGATGACCAATCCGTTCCGGATGATCAACGATCTCAAACCCGAACCGGACGATCCGGAGGAGAACGTTGAGGAGATAGAACAGAGAGAGACTTCACTTTAGACTGAAAATCCGGAATTTTAGATAAAAAATCCGGAATCTTCGTGTTCAGCGCCATGTACGTGTACGAGATGACCAATCCGTTCCGGATGATTAACGACCTCAAACCCGAACCGGACGATCCGGAGGAAAACGTTGAGGAGAGAGAGAGAGACAGAGAGAGACTTCATTTAGACTGAAAATCCGGAATTTTAGGTCAGGAATCCGCAATTGTTATCCTGCCAAACGTCCTGCTCAACGACATCTGCAAGTTTGACATGACTAATCCGTTCCGGACGACCTGAAATCGGCACCGGAAGATCCGGATGGGAACGTTGAGGAGATCGAACAGAGAGAGACTTCGCTTTAGATTTAGCATCGATCAAAGCAGGAAGAGACTATTTTATTTATGATTACCAGTTTTCTAAACGTTTTGAGGGCTGTTGTCTTACCTTATTTCCATGTCTAGATGTTAACTCTTGGCTCTTTCCTACCTTAGACTTAATGGACTTTGTATAAAAAAAAACTGTAACTGTACATGTATTTTGTTCCCCTGTTCCCTTGTTCCGATTTGTAATAAAGCCGCTAAAAGCGCTAGTTAACTAGGCTTAAACGTCGAGCCTATAGCAAGTTGAAACATAAATATAGGGAGTAATCACGCTTAAATGTAAGATGTCCCATATTCTGTAGACCTAAAAGAAATGTGCCGTATTGAACCTAGAGGACGCCTCTTGGTTGTAACTTATTGTGATGTTTGAGTTAGTAGATTAGATATGATAATCTAGTAACTGTATAAAATCTGTATGATAAATACTAAGTGTTACTCAATCACATGCATTCATAGCTATGAAAGCAGGAGATAAGTGAAATAAAAGTGAAATATTAGTCAGAATGATACAATATCAATACTTATAATTCTGGAAGGGCCATACTGCTTTGGAAGTCAGAATCGACAGACTTAAGCTTTCTTTGAGGCTCATGGCGACTCTATTGTAAAGTGCATGGAGCATTTGCTAAGCTCCATACACTTTTAGACCATTTATTTGCACTATGTACAACTAGCTCACCTCTGCAATATATCTCGTCACAATACTTATTTGGTGCACTGCAATGTATTCACTATCACCGTCTATACTACTAGTAGTTTGCTGTTATCACTATCGCATTATCGAAAGTTGGCGTGACCGCATTACCGAATTTGCCATGAATAAAGAACTCGTAGCTGACATGGTCCCTGTTCTTCTCAAAGAAAATGGTGGAAACATCTCTGAGATCATAAGTACAAGACGATAGATGCTCATTAGACTGTGACTAAAGAGTGAGATTAATGAGTGACTAAACTGACTTTTCATTCATCTCCCAAACACGTAGCAGTTCCTTGCCATTTTGCTATGTAGCGTTACACATTAATAAAGAAAAAACAAGACTACAACATCACAGTTACGTAACTGCTTTACAGGAAATCACCCTACATTAAATATTTATTCTCATAGCTTTTCTTAGACATATATTTTATCTGAAAGAAAAGTTGTGCTTTGAAAGACGAAACAGGATTGGCTTTGTCGTAGTGGAAGTAACAATATATATATATTGAATGTGAAAGTATCTTTATTACTCCGTAAGTGTGAACGATACAACGTAAGGCAACTTCTACTGGGTAACTAGGGTAACAATATTTCTCAGGGACTTATCTATTCCACAGTAGACTTCATAGTCTATCTATCAACTAAGGTTATAGAATTATAATGTCTTAAACAATTCTACAGTCTGATAAGGAATCAATTACTACAACACTACAGTTGCATAAGCATGTTTCTGGAATTCTAGAACAAAAGGAACTTACATTAAGTGCACATGATGTTAAATCAGACAGTGATTAAAATAAGCCACACATACTTTTCTTAATTAGATGCTAAATATTTCAGGTATCGTCACTTGTCTCCAAACCTCATATTGAAGAGTTTGCTCCGTGACAATAGTTGTCTGAACACTTCTCCAGTTAGCTGTGGTTCCCCACTAATCATAAATGTCTACCTCACTGATATTGTCAAATGAACTCTTTCTGACCTACGTTTGTAGCAGGCAATGTCACTACAATAGAGAGCGTTACTTGTCAGCGTTACAGACATGTAGGATTGATGATTTTGTGGATAACTGGGTGTGATCAGATTTAGTAGAGCAGATGCGATTATCGTGGCCTGATTTTCATCGACACAGATTTCAGGGAGTAATAAGGGCCTCTCCAGTGGTACCACACCACACCTTGCTCGCGTGGACAGGAGTTCCCACAGTTGCCTAGGTAGCGGCCGTTGAGGAAGGAGCGGCCGCAGTCCCTGTACCACCAGCCGCCATGTCCGCAAACCTGAGAACAGTGGCGCCAGCTGTGGACATCATTGTCCCTGTCCACAGTGGAGAACAGCTGCCCGTTGTTGGGATAGCTGCCAATCATGGAGTCTCCCGCGGTGCCTGAATACCCGGATATGGCCAGCCGGTACATGTTTGACGCATCGTCTAACACCCTGGATGGGAACATCAAATCACACAATATCAGTTAAGAACAACAATCTGCATTGATACTGATTCTGGCCTGTTTGTAACACAGAGGGGTTCAAAGACCTCATACTTCTATGAAGTATTTGGAACTTTTGTAAATTTAGTTTTGTAATTTTGTCTTATTAACTTACAACTAGCATATCTACTAACATTGCATAATTATATAAGTGTGTAAATGTCCTATTCGTTGGCACAATGCAACTGTAACGCTATCAGTTATTATGCAAATGACCACATTCACCCAGGCTACGCATAGTGATGTTAATTCCTTCAAGTACCAGAGTTATCAACCAAGGATTGAGGTGTACAAGAATTCATTCTTTCCTAGAACTATCGCAGAGTGGAACTCGCTGTCACCAAGTAAAGTAGGGGTACTGTCATTAGATGGCTTTAAACAATGTCTAGAGTTAGAAGTTTAGCCGGTTAGGTGTAACAAGTCGTTCGGTGTAATATAGCAAGTTGCCGCCGCGCCGCGTGCCTGCGAATCTGGTGTGTTACACCGAAAGGCGATTATACGGGCTATACAGATACAGATACAGAATTCTGGCCTGTTTGTAAAACTAGAGTTCAGAGATCGCATATCCCTATGAATTATTGATAGCTTTTATGAATTCTGTTGCACCGAATTGCGGTTCAGGCGATTTGGTGCGAACAAGAGCAGTTGTTTGTCTGCTTAGAATGTTAGAATTCACTAGAAGACCAGTATACCAACCGAAATATGCCGTATTCCGCGTAGCGTTCATTTTCTTCCCAGTCCATCATATCGATCCGGAGACGAAAGTCCTTAAGAGTAGTCAGGCGGTGGATGATCTCGTTCCCAAGCCAGTATTCCCCGTTCTTGTTCCCAAACCCGTGCTTGTAGTCTTCCCAGGTCAGGTCGAAGGGAACAGACCCGTCTATCCTCCGTTGGATCACGGTCCACCCACCTCCTGTGGGAAAAAAAACACCCATCATTTTTCTGTATGCTATTTCAGAGTTTTACATGGAAATAGCACGAAATATGTTCGCTTTGCGGAGGAGATTGATTGGAATAGACCCACCCTGTGAGCGATTTCTCATACAAATAAGGACTTGACCAACAACACAGTTAAATTTGCATCCCCATGTTATAGTTTTTTAGTGTTTTATTTGGCAGTTCATACACATCTTTGTATATTACGGACCCCTATGTACCTTAAAACAATATATACCTGCAGTATCCATGTCACAGTAGACCTCTACACCGGACAGGGGTGGGCCAAGTGTGTAGACTCCACTGGTCGTGTGTCCGGCGGCTTTAACTGCAGCACAGTCTGGGAAACAGTAAGTAGCAGGGGACAGAGTCACGATGTAATGATTGATATGTCAGACAAGAGAAGCAGGTTTATTTGGTAACACAACATAACGCTGGTAATTTATGACCAAACTATTTTGAGTCCGTATTAAATGCGAGGACACAAAGTAGTAGGGGTATAAGGAACAGAACAACATAAGAGGTCGCTTAAGCTTATACCGGACCAAAATGA